CTTTGCATTGCTAATCTATCGAAACCTTACAAGGTGACATGTGATGCAAGTGGTTATGCACTGGGAGGAGTTCTCATGCAAGAGGGACAGCCTATTGCATATGAGAGTCAAACTTTGAATTCTGTTGAGCAACGCTATTCCACATATGAGCAAGAGTTACTCTCTATTGTTCATGCTTTGCAGACGTGGCGGCACTATCTTTATGGTGCAGTGTTTGTGGTGTTGACAGATCACAAACCACTTGTGTATCTTATCACACAAAAGGAGTTGAACACTAGGCAAGCTCGTTGGATGGTCAAACTCATGGAGTTTGGGGAGTTTCCTATTGAGCATCGTCCGGGAAAATCAAATGTGGTGGCGGATGCTTTATCTCGTGTTCGTCATGTGACGACATTACGAACACGATTTTGTCATCATTTGAGTAAGGTGGTCAGCGAGTTTGGGCAATTGGTTGAGCATGCTTAGGCTCAAGATGCTGAGGTCTGCCTCAGACTTGGCTGCGGTTTACTTGGAGAAGGTTTTTCTTGATTTTGGTTTGCCAGAGGACATCATTAGTGATCGAGATTCAAAGTTCACCAGTGGATTTTGGAAAAGCTTTGCAAAGGCTATGCAAGTGATTTTGAAACTCTCAAGTGGAGATCATCCTCAGACGGATGGGCAAACCGAGCGTGTGAATCAGGTGGTGGAGGATATGCTACGTTGTAGCATTGGTCAAAGGCAAGGACAGTGGGATCTATATCTTCCGTTGGTGCAATTTGCTTACAACAATAGCCAACACAGTGGAACCAAGCTAAGTCCTTACTTTGCCATGTTTGGAAGGCATCCTCGAACAGTGGTGGAGTTGGGATTGCATTTGAGTAAGGACGTTCAAGATAAGCTTGATTCTGAGGCAACTGATCTGGCCACAGAACTTGATGAGATTCTGGTGGTGTGCAAACGGAATTTGCAAGCAGCTCAGGATAGAGCGAAGAAGTTTGCCAATGAGCATTGCCAATTCCGGGAATATAAGGTGGGTGATCTCGTCTTTGTGCGAGTGATCTTTCCGTCAAGTGAGCGGCGGAACACCTTGGTGCCTTTATAGACAGGGAAGAGTGATAAACTCTCCCATCGATATGCTGGTCCATATGAAGTGCTGGAGCGCATTGGTAAAGTGGCTTATCGGGTGCGGCTGCCAGCTGGGGTGAAAATTCATCCGGTATTTTATGTCAGCCAGTTGAAAGGTGTACTATCTTGGAGTGACGGGCCCAATGCCTCCCTGATGTATACGGCTGTGGAAGATGGACCAGGAGCTTGAGCAGGATTCCCCAGAAAGAGTGATCACCAATACAACTCGTCCTTGGGACAAGGACTTTGTTGGGGGGGAAGAATTGTTAGGCACCAGCTTTGACTACCATGGTCAACGTCGGTCAAAGGGAGGCTCAAGGGTATATTAAGGCATGTTAGGGTAGGGGACTTAACCTACCCTAGGGCTCACGGTGGAGCGGCGGCGTAGTGGAACTTTTGAGGTAGCTCGGGGGTGGTTGGGTGGTGAGGAACCTCAAGAGGTGGCGTAGCATAGTTTAGGGCGACTAAATCTCTGTCTTTTTGCACTGGATCATAACACTTGGACACGTGGCATATGGCACATTGCATGTGATATATGGCATATGAAGGGTTTAGGTTCTATTTCATGGTTATCTTATGATAAATCACTATAAGATACCACGCACGCTATTTTCAAGTTGGCTTCATAAGATTGAAACACTAAACTCATGCTATCAAATCATATACTTATCCAACATAAATATAGTACCTCAGGTACAAACTTCGATACCAAATGTAGTGCACTTTATCTCTCTCCTCTTAAGCCAACTAGAAAAGAAGCAATTACCTAATGAGAGAACCTTTAGTGGTTATTTTATCCCTATTTATCCTTTATAAGCTCCTAAGTTTGGACTTCTTGGGATGTCATCCAACCCAGTACTATTCAAACCCAAGGACGCTTAACCCCAAATATCCCAAGACTCTTAACCAATTGGAAAAAAGAGTGCACTCTTATTCATGGGCCCTTTCCCTCTATATTTGAACCCCATGGATCGTCTCTTAAGTTGTTCTCTTTAGTTGCTTACATCTCCTAAGATTCCAAGGATCCACAGTGATAATATATCCAAATCTCATCTCATGATCAGATGTGTTACTGTGAGACACAAAATCCCTAGGCCCCAAAGTGGAGCCGAAAGGGCGCCACGTGGTAGTGGCCAAAGCGAAAGCCAAACGAGCATAACACGTTTGGACTAAAAGCTCCAACTTGAAAAGGTCAAGAGTGGGAGTGGAACTCCCAATGAAGGGCTTGAGGAACAAGCACGAGGTGAGTCATGAGTGAGTCTCTAGAAAAAGGGACACAAGAGGACCAAAACATGACATGTGGAAGTATCCGAGATAAAGTCCGATGTGGAGTCCGAGATGGACCTGAGATGGACTCAAGAAGGAGTCCGAGATGGAGTCCGAGATGGAGTCCAAGATGGACCCAAGATGGAGTCCGAGATGGAGTCTGAGATGAACCCGAGATGGAGTTTGAGATGGACCCGAGATGGAGTCCGAGATGGAGTCCGAGATGGAGTCTGAGATGAAGTCCAAAATGGACCAAGATGGAGTCCGAGATGGAGTCTGAGATGGACCCAAAATGGAATCCGAGATGGAGTCCGAGAAGGACCCGAGATGGAGTCCGAAGTCGAGACCGAGACCAAGACCGAGACTGGGACCGAGACCGGGACCGAGACTGAGACCGAGGCTGAGTCTGAGCCCGAGCCCGAGTCCGAGTTCGAGTCCGAGTCCGAGTCCGAGTCTGAGTCCGAGTCTGAGTTCGAGTCTGAGAGGGTGAAAGCCCAAAGCGTTCGTCTCCCAGACCCTGGGGGGTTTGGTGAGCTCCAAAAGTATAGTAGGGGGAGGACTCCAGTGGAGCCAGTCCGAAATGTTGTCCCAAAGTCCCAGACTATGGAAAGGAAGAGGAGTGGCCCTCTAGTGTAGTGACCAATGGTACGGTTATGTGGTGAGGAAGTCCCAGAGGACAGTGGGACTTAGTAGTTGGGTCTACAGGCCCTGTCCCAGTGGCAGTCTTGGCAAACACGGCCATGGACAGAAAAGGGACTTGGTGAGGACTGTAATAGGGATATTGGGGAAGGCTGTTCCCCATGTCTGTGGGCATTTTAAGGATGCTAAAGAGTGGATCTTGGATGGTCACTCCTGGACGGATGGCCCAGTCCTTAAAAGACGGGACTGCGATGTAGTTGGTGTTGGACCACCGGTGTGACCAAGCTGAAGGGGCATGGCCTTAGCGTAACAGGCTAGTATGTCAGTGGTACCTTGGGGTGTCGGTCTTGGGACTGGACACATGGAGCACTTGGACTAAGTGCAAGGGATGAGTGGCGTGGATGCTATTCTTGGGGATAGCAAGTCCCATGTCTTGAATTTGACTTAAGGAGGTTGTGAATGAGACTCCTCCAAGTGGTCGGAGGTGTGGTTAAGTGACTAAAGTAGAATGGAAAAATTAGTCGCTTATAGTTACACACACCCCCCTTTCAAAGTTATCAATGTTCTAATTGATTATTAACTATTGACTAACAACCCCTATTAAGAAAAAGGGAACCAACACCTCTATTTCAGCACGGAATTTAATAATCCTTTCATTTTGTAAATTAATTGTTCTATATGAGGTAACTAGTCATTCACAAGTATTATAATCCCACGGTGGATACTTTCCTCTGTAGATGCTCCATAACAGGAATGTAATGCATCTGAATTTAGAGGCAAACTCTAAGCCCATTGTGCTACAAAATGAAGGTCTGATACACTCTCAATCCTATGAGCAAAAACTCCTTATATCCAACACTTGCATGTAAATCGGTGTCAGATGGTGTTTAGCATGACTTTGGCATATTGGTGGCCTAACACAAAGAGAAGGGTACCCTACCAACTAGAGTAGTGTGGATCTTGGGCTTAGACCCAAGCCGGACACAAAACAAAGAGCGACACAGCCTAGTGAGAGCTAAATTAATATCTTGGGTGGTTGGTTATACATTCCAAACATCATCATACTCATATATTTAAACAAAAGAGCCGGTATAATAATAGCATATACTGGGGACACTTATTCTGGGTATATGCTGAGATCTAACGGCCAAGATCTAATTGTCGAAGGTCATGTCGTTTCAAATCAGAGAAAAATTTTATGTGGCTTTTTAGGGCTGGAAAAAATGCGTTCAGCGACGGGAGAGGCAGTGGGCAGATGTACTCTCTCCTGGATTCTGTTCTTGCAGACTACTTATATTTTCCACTGGAGGTTAGAATTCGATGCCCGATTCTTCGCGGATTGGCATTTTCTCTTTTTGTTTCTCAATTTATATTTTTCTCTGCCTTCCACGGATTGGTAGGTAAATCTGGAAATATGAATGCTTCTTTTCTTAGCACCTCCAGCCAAGAGCAAGGAGAAGAAGAAGACGGTGCTGCATCCTCCGGTTATTATCCTCCAGTGATTCTCAAGGAGCCGCACCAAAAACTCTGGAAGAGGTTAGCAGTAGAACTTCTCATCGATTAATGGGAGGCAACTCAATATACCTAACTATAAACCATGGAGGCACTCTTCTCGTAGCCCAGAAAAAATTCCAGAGAAGTGAAGAACCAATCTGGGACGACAACCAGCTCCAGCATCTGAGTCATCTCCTCTGGTTCCTCAGACGATGAGCTGCTCAAGGTCTTGTTGCTCATTCTCATCAGGTAATGTGCAGGTGTGCTACAAAACTGAAAACTCATGTAGAAAAGGTTTTGTGGACAGTGAGGGTGTGAAGATTGTTAATATTTCTGTGGAAGGTCTAAGTCAAGCTACTATACTATGTAGCACTAACTCTGTGATGAAGAGCGTGTCTACGAAACTAAGATGGGTACGACTTCTTGTTTGGAGGTAAATCACTTTTTTTAATTAATCACGTATGTTACTAATCAAGTGGCATGGCAGGGTGCTGGAAAGACCTCCATAATATGCACTGTGGTGGCATGAACACTGATATCAACAATTTTTTTTCCAGACATCAAGTGTCATGAAAGCGTTTCATGCAGTGTAGGATACATAGATTCAGTAGGCGTTAACTTTCAGGTAAAAATTTCTTCCTTACTCTGCTTTGAATGGTTTACCAATTGGTTCCATATAGGACCTATCATATGAAGAAGAGCAGCTGAAGAATGGTTTGTTGAGAGCAGATCCATATAAAGTTTTGACTTGGTGCACAATCTGGCTCACAAGAGTCCCAGGCTGCGACAACAGGCTGCCGATCACTCTCGACCAGCTCTTGGCACCCTCCTGGACGAGATCACTACTGCTGAGGTCCCTTTCGTTTTAGATCTTGCCATGAGTGCCGACTGGCATCAGCTTTCAAGCGTTACAGCCATGGACGTGTACAAGTCCACTCCCGACTTGACAAAGTCCCAGGAACTGCAGAGACTGGGACATCGTTGGAGGAAGGTTTCTTTTTTATATCGATTTTTTGTTTTCACCATTTTTGCAGAAAAAATTATTGGAGATGATCCGGCGATTGATCGTCTGTAGTACCTCCAAGCATGACCTGGAAAGGGTGGTTAGTCTGAAGAGGTTAGAGTGAAATGTAACTTTGTTTTCCCAGCTAGCTTGGGTGGAGTATGGATTGATGAATTGGCTATCAGAAATATACAGAGCTATCCAAGGTTTACAGTTTGTCATGAAACTTGTTTTGCAGGTGCTGGCCCACGAGAATGGCTGGCAGCTCTTTATTCAGCGGGAGTTCCTTGTGCTGTTGCCTCCACAATGGATCAGATTAGCTGTTGGATGCACTCATAAGAATGGGTCTCGACAAGAGTGAGGCCGTTAGGCACGTTGTGCATGGTTTTAATACAATAGTTGTTAACTCTAGGCAGTTGTCACAGAAGAGGATGGAATGGACTCCACCAAGGATTGGGAGCTGGATCCTTTGTCCTGGAGACCAGAGTGGCCGCGAGCTAGATCCTTTGTCCCAGAGACTAGAGTGGCCACGAGATGGAATGGTTAAGGCTAGGGTTTATGCAGAATGTGGTGGTGGTAACACATCACAGCCGAGCACCCCTCTCTGTTCGATCACTGGTCCGCAAAGATCTTGAGGAGATCCTTCCAGCAAACGATCTTATCGATATCAATATCGAGGAGCCACTGAAAAATAATCTAGAGTAACTTCAGCCAAAGAGATTGATTGAGCTCTCCAGTTGCCAAAGACCCGACTACCATTGCTGTGGCAGCCTCTGCTCAAGATGTCCACTGGTGAATTCCAAATATCTTCACACGCAGCTCAATGAGCTAATCCAAGTGATGTGCCTCACTCTCATGCTTTCCTGTTCATTAAAGTTCCTGTTTTTCCAGTTTTATTGTTAATCCAAAGTGGAAGTTTAGCTCTTTGTTTCACAGATTTATAAAGCTGACCTACCCAAGAGAGTTCAAAAGTCAGAGTCACGTCTCCAAGTAGAGGCTTAAGTTCTGCAGCCTTGAAAACCCCAGGAAGCAATCTTCCACTTCCGCAGAGCCTATCACCTCCACTTCACAACCACGGCCTCATTGCTCACCTGGCCTCTTATTGTTTTTTTTACCTCTTCTTGTCCTTTTGGTAAGAGCAGCAGTAACAAAAGCAAGCTTCCGAAGGAAACATGTGCTCACTAGGGGAGGTCTTCTTAGCTGTTAGAGTAGAGCATAGGAAATTATACAAGGAAGGCAATCTCCAAGGAAGTATGGAGCAGTAGATGGAAGCTTTAGGCCCTTGATGTAGTTCTTTCTTATTTTTCCCAATTTTTAAGATATCACATTGCCTAGAGCTGGAATATTATAAAAGAAGGTAACAATTCATTTACAGCTAATGGATTTAAGTCCTTGCTCTGTTTTCTAGCTTTAACAGAACCCACTGATAAACTTTATAGTAATGCAAAACATTAGGAGATTGCTGGGAACAATGATCTATTATCGAACCACCATGATCTATTGCTATAATATGACCAAAGTAGCCTGAGGCTGGTTATTGTCTTATGGTGATTTTGCTCTGGTTGTGGGACATGCAATGGAATGGTATCCAAAGCTACTTGGTAGCTCTGAAGATCTGAAATATCAAAAAAGTATATATGAACAATAAAGAATATGAGTTTCAACCTTTATTGTGATAATTGTGTTACTAAAAAACTGTTATGGCAAACACATATATAACATGAAATAACAGTGTGTTACATAGAGAAACACTTAGTTTGCAAGATTAATCTTATTGTATATCAATTATTAGGTGGTAGAATAAACTAAAGTATACAATATGTATTTGGGAAAGTCTATAAATTCTAAACACATTCCAAATCATTATTGTACTATTATATATTTTCAGACAAGAATGATAATATATTAATAAATACTTTATAATTTATGATTGATTAAGTATTATTTTAATTCTTTAATAAAAGTGGGGTTTTTAGCTCATGATTCATCCATTAATTTTCTCCTTCTGCATATTATTAGAAAAGTAGATTAATTTTTAAAAAACTATGACTAATAATGTTAGCCTTTTGATAAAGGTTTCAGAAAAGTTTTTTATGCATGTTAAGATTAATATGAAATTTTTATATATAAATATGAATATAAATTTTTTAGAAATTACTAAATAACAGAAATGTACATGACACTCCCAGAAAATATATATTTGGAAACTTGTATAGCTAAAACTTCTGTATCTAACTATAAATAACTATGATGCATCAAGAAGTGTTTGTAAAATATATATTTACTCTAGAGTAACTCAATCACAAAAATTATTATTAATGGTAATTGTGATCTTATATAATGATAATTAATTCTCTATAATAGATTCATGACACATAAAAAGTTAGTTCTCAATATAATGAGTTGACCAATTTAGCATTTATACTGTGTATGAGAAATTATTGTAGCTATTGTAGTATAAGTAGCTACAATAATGTAGCTGTATGAGATCTTTCTACTTATATTTCTATATCTCTATCTAATTTTTGATACTACATTATAAAAGTTAATTACACTTGTATGATGAATGGTGATATATCCCAAATTGGCAGTCTTGTCCAAACCACTAAAGGTGCTAAATATCTCTGATGTGTGTTTTTATATTAGAATTGTTATGTATGTTATGATTAGTATGAACTTTTCAAATATAAAGATGAATATGAACTTTTCAGAATTACTAAATAACAAAAATGTACATGACACTCCCAGCAAAGCTGGGACTTGTGCCTTGGATGAGTGTGATTGAATATATTGCCAATAGCAGTAATTTTAGCATGTAGTGTTTGTTTCAGACATCTCTATTGACCATGCATTCTAGGGTTGCTAGATCACAAGTTTTTGTGACAACTCATGTTAATCACTACAAGTAGTCAGTACCTTTCTCTTTGTTAGTCAATTATCAGATTCTTTGTTAATTTTTCTTTTTTTCTCTTGGCAGGATTTCTGGAAATAGCATAATCTAGCATATAATACAATGCTTGTGGAAAATGAGTATCCTCTAAGGCAGGCTTGCTCAAGAATATTTAACATAACATTAGCATAACCATAGAAGTTAACAAATGGTATGGTTAATTTTATGCAGGTTCAAACTTTAATTATAATCCTCTATATTTCATTGGCTATAACCTTTGTAAACCAAGCTCATATAAGTGTCATGATAAATAGTTATCTCAAACATGTTGTAAACTTTATAAAGACTCAATCCAATACAGCTCACTAATAAAATAAAAAACTAATATAAAATTTAATCTCCCTCAACCACATATTTTCCTTGTATAAGAATTAAATGTCCAATATAAAACCATTGGAGCTGTGAATTTTGTAGGAAATAAAAAAACTTTATACATGTTATGGCCCTTTTTTTTTCAGTAACATAACAAAGAAAACCTATTTTAGGTGTTGAACTTGCACTATTGATTCTTGGGTATGGGCATCAAGGAGAATGTGAGAGATACATTGAATAGAAGTAGGCAATGCTAGAGAATTGCTATAGCAAGAATGTCATGGCCAGGAGCAAATCAATGTCAAGAAAGCTAGGGCAATGATTAGGTAGGTAGCTTTTCTTTGAGGTTAATAGTACATGGAATGATCCATAATAATGGGTGGCGATGGTGATGAGATGAACAGTCTGCCTCTTGAATTCAGGGCAAATAGGTCCCTCAACCATGGCAACAACAACATTAATTCCTGTATTAGATGATGATGCTGGGTACTGGTGCCTCTTGTGAGTGCCATTATCAACCCACGGGCAAATGCATAAAATGAACAGAGTGTGGAGGAATCTTGTCTCTAGTGCCAAGTTTCATGACAATTGTTCTGTATAAGGATTGATTGAAGGTGTACTGGTGGTAACAGTGTTTCTCAAACATGGGAAAGAGGTCTTGATCATTCAATCCTAGAAGTGCCAAGAAAGTGTGGATGATTATAGTACATAGGAGAATTTGTGTGACAAGCTCTTGACAGAAAGTTCTATATTGATCTACACATGAATCGATGGAGTTCTTTGGCATCAATGTTGTGTCCTTGAAAGTTGTGTGCATATGTGGTTATGGATGGCCAACTCTATGTAGTGGGTGGTGCTTATATGGGGTTGCATCCAATAGCCAAGATACGCAATCCAGTGGATGATCAATAGGATTCTCTACCATTGCTGATTTTATCCTACCCTTGTCAGCAATGACAATAAAATAATTATGAAAGATAGTGGTTGCTTCTTCAGATCAACATTTGTTTTATTAGCACAAGATTTGTCTTGGAAAGAGATGAATATAATTGCATTGCATGGGCGACACTGCTTTGTACACTTCAAACAATTCTACAAGCCCAACATGTATGGATTGTTGAGGCAATAACATGTGGACATTGGCTCAACGTGGTGAACACTTCTCAAGCAGATAACTTCAAGCTAATGCTTTGCTCAACAAGCTGCTAGAAGAACATCTGGGCAATCTCAAGAAATTGTAAAGTTGTGTCAGTGATTCAAGATAATAGCACTGAACCAAAGTGATAGATGTTTACAATCTTGATGTGCCATTGGTGAATACCAATGAAATTTCCTTCAAGGTTAATATAATTACAGAATATGTATTAAAATATCATGGTACAGAAAAGGCTCAAGTTCTTCTTACAATCAAGTGTGCTTTGCCATACCTTCACTTTCAAAACTTTTAACATACAACCTATTAAATCTCATGCTTGAATATCTTATATATATGTTTCTTAACTTTTTAAATATAAAGAAACAATAGAAATGAAAAGCCGAATAAGGAACTTTTCCAAATTACTAAACAACTCAAATGTATATGACACTCCCAGCTTCACTTCTGAGACTGAGATTTCTCTTTTTTCATATTATCAAAAAAAGTATATACAAATTTATATGACTATTAATACAATCATCAATGATTAAACATATTGAGATTTCAATTGGCTCAGATGTAGTCTAAGATTTATGTAATATCATAAATTTTC